TTTACAAAATGGCTGCAGGGGAGAGGTTTGCCAGTTTACAAAATGGCTGCTGGGGTGGATGTGACTATCGCAAAGTGTTTTGTTTTAAAGATAAATCAATGAGGTTGCTCCTAGTCATCCATCTCTAATCTTCCTACTGGTTCAGTTTCTTTCTTTCTTTTGAAATACTCTTCATATAATTGTTTTATATATATTGTATTTATGAAGGCATCGAAAGTCACCTATCTCTGTAATGGTGGATGGGACTCTGCCATTCTTCCGTGTCCCTTCTTTCCTTTGCCTCTTACCTGTCCTTCTCATCCTTGATCACTGGCCCTTCAGGCTTCTCGCTCTCCTTGTCAAGTTGGCTGCTTCCACGCTCTGTTCCGTTACTGCCACCACCTTTGGGCCAGGCTGGGGCAGTAGGGAAGGAAGGAGGTGTACGGTGTAAGCGATTCCATGCCTCATGTGGACTAGGGAAGGCAGGAGCCCCAGGAGTGTCCTTCTGCCCAAAGACTGCACTTGAGTCTGAGAAGGAGAGAAGAAAGATCAGGCAGCCAAGCTAAATGCAACGTTGCCCTTATAGTGCAAGCATCAATGACAAGGAGACTTGGAAGGAACTGAATTCCTCATTAAAAGAGTGATAGTAGTTATCACACTAGTGTGTAGAGCAATTGGTGCTCAGAAAGGCACATGGTATAGTCTTAAATCAATTCTACTTCTAAATGCCGGTGGAATGATTCATTCAGAGGATGGAGGGGGAGAATGCTCACTCACAAAAGAACTGTCAACACATTGGTAGCTATTACAGGCAGTGCTCGAGTTATGACCACAATTGAGTCCAAAATTTATGTTGCTAAGTGAAAAATTTGTTATATGAGTTTCGCCCCATAATATGGCCTTTTTTTGCCACATTTGTTAAGTAAATCACTGCAGTTGTTACATCATAAATATGAACCAGTTGTCAAGCAGCTGAATGTAAATCACATGACCAGGGGATGCTGCAAACAGGTCATAAGTGTGGAAAACAGTTGTTAGTTACTTTCTTCACTGCCACTGTAACTTTGGTCACTAAATGAACTGTTGTAAGTTGAGGGCTTCTTGTATATGACAGAGGAAATATCTAGCCACATGCTTAGAGCTATCTGACTTTCCTGCCTGTATGTTTAGACCTGCAGCCATCTTTTCTTTTGGGTCTTTGGCCTGCCACACTTTCTATTATTCTGCTATGCATTTTCTATTGTGGGGAAATGGGAGGGGGGATTTTAAGGAGTGAGATGCTATGTAGCCAAAACAAAATTCCTTCTAGAAAACCAAGGTCATCCTTTGTCTTTGCAACTCTGCACCTGACTGGAATTGGACGGGTGGAACTGCCAGCATGGCAGTGGAGGTTTGGACCATGTGATGGACTTGTGGGTGTGGGGGCAAGTTCTTGAATTTTCAACTGGGTGGGGAAAACCGGGAAGATTTCAGATTGGGGTTTTCCCAGATGTGCCAACTTGGCTCTCTTAATAAATTGAAACTTTGAGCAATACTTTGCCTTGGACTCTGATTTACTTTTGGATGCTATTTGGAACTCTAATATTAACCCGAATCTCCAACCCTCCTTCCGTGTGGGGGATAAAGTTTTCTTGTCTACCAAATACATAAGGTTGCCTAATAAGAAATTAGGGCCAAAATTCCTAGGTCCCTTCCCAATAGTGAAAATAATTAACCCAGTTACAGTTCAGCTCAGTCTACCCAGAATTCTAGGGAAAATTCGCCCAGTCTTTCATTGTAGCTTACTGAAGCCTGTAATGGTCTCTACCTTTTCTAAAGGGTAGAGATTTGAGTGGAGTTTACTATATGCTGTTTGCA